TGTTCAGTAGTTGGTGTTTGTTGTTTGGTAGTCAGTGTCTGGCAGCGGTAACAAATGGTAAGTGGTGACATTTTGCATGTTAATGCCTTGTCATTTTTTTCCTGGTTTATCCTCCAAGTTTGTTTTTGCTGGTGTAGAGAATTAAATTCATCTAGATAAAAAGATGTCACATCTTGCTTGGTTATTTGCTAGCTCATCCTTGCTGCAAGGGTATTTTATAAATATATAAACATAAATGAAGTCCTTTGAAGAAGGATGTGCTAGCTACCAACAATTAGTTTCTGAATCCCCTGGGTGTCACAAGGTCTCATAGAAAGACCATTCCCACAATAATCAGCACAATTTTAATATAAGATTCAGTACTATTTAGCAATTTGTGAGCATGAGAATCATTGCAAAATATTGAATGATTAATTAATGGTAATTTGCTAAATCTATAGGATCACATAATGTATCATATCATGAGTTTATTATTTATGATGCATACTCATCATTGTGGGATCAACAGTTGACATGTAATCGGGAGGTTGTGGGTTCGATTCCCACCAGGGTGGAGTGACTTTTTCACATCACAGCCCTTAGCATGGGATTTGATCCTATGTTTTTAGATTAACCAGTACTATCCCTCTCACAAGCTTTAGCTAAAGAGAGACTGATAATTCAGAATGCATGCTCGTAGATCCACACAATCTTAGCGTGGCATTGAGATTATTGTTGTTTGCAGATTGCACCAATATAACTTGCCAATTTGAATGAGCAGAATTCTCTGCTGTTTCTCTGTTTATTGATTTAATTTGTATGAAAGGTGAAGTGTATAGGTAGAATTTATTGTTATTCTATAAAGCCTATACACATTATGCATGGCAGATCGTTAGCTGGAGAGATTTGTGCTTCACCTTCTCTAATAACTACATTTACAGGTCTAATAACTGCACTGATCTGAGCTGCTGGTATATAGTCTAATAATTCACACAATTGTTATGTATTGTTGGGATTAGTGTGATATTGCGAAGGGTATTAGGACATTTAGATAAGAAAGATTCGACCTGTAGATGTATGTTTAGAACCAGATAGGAGATTCACAACGTAAGATATAATTATGTGTCGTTATTATGCCACATGGTAGATTCTAGATTGATGTGGCATATAGTATAATACGTTGTAATATAGTATAATGAGCTGCAATATAGTATAGAAAGCTGTAATATAGAGGTACAGGATAGAACCACGGGATAGATGTACAGGAAATACATTCAAATTGGGAGTAAGTAAAACCAACTTTAACACAACCATAACACAATTCTTTTATACTTGGGGTAAAATTACCTCACCCAACAAAAATACTTCTGTCAACTGTGGCAAAAAGATTTTAATGGTATACAGGCAAGGCAAGGGTATGTGACTAAATAAGGTAAGGCATGGATAGGTGTCTCTCTTCTCCATTGGTTTATATGACCTTGTAACACATTCTCTTTACAAATTCAGGGACAGCCGGGCTACATTAAAGTAGAGGGCTGATATATTAGATCTGCGGGACGATGTTTTGCTGAGTGGTAAAAAAGAATTTAAAGATGTTTAACTTACTCTTGAATGTGTAGTTTCATTTGCTAACATTTTAGTCAAAAGCAGCATGTGTACTTATCTTAAGACTGATTAGCAATCAATAGGTGTTCAATAGTGTTGTATCTTTAATCACATCAACTACTTCAGTATGAGGTCTTATTGAATGTTATCATCTAATGAGCTTATAAGTTATGGTAAATACTGGCATATATTTTTGTATGGGAAACAATTTAACCATTGATCATTGATCTGACCATGGTCTTTCCCACCAAGTAAAGCCCTTACTTGGATGAAGAAGAGCCTTACAAAATCTCACTACTCATGATCACCAAGAATATCCTCATGAACTAATTTTTTGCATTCATGATACAGCTTTCACCTTAAAGTTGCATTTGCTTGTTCAACTGATTATATTTGCCAATGTTGATTGCTTGATTGATCATTTTGAGGTTCTTGCATGTAATTACTTAATTGAAGAGTATAATTTGTCCTACATGTAAAACAAATTAATTCTCAATATTAGAAGAACTTATCTGTTGCCCACTAGATCTTTATTTATTGTATGATCTGTAAAATGGAGCCCTCTGATTGGTCAGTTCTTGTGCTGTACCAATCTGTATTGCTACTGAGATTGTCCCCGTTGATCATCTCCGTCGCAATACAGAAAATATTGGTACAGAGGGGACAATCTCAGTAGCAATACAGAGGATCACACGATAAAAATGTTGTACAGAATTGCTCGAGCAGAATATATCATGTATTGCACTTGAAATCATTCAATAACTTATAATATTTTTTTATTTAATTAGCAATACAATCATAGCAAACTTATAGAATTAAGGCCATGATGAACAAACTTAAATGGTATTGCATCAAGTCTATCTTTTTTCTTCCCCTACATGACAAATAAGTATGAAAAGAAGGTGGCTTTACCACTTTAGAAGAGTGGGCTTGATGCATGAGTGAAAAACTAGGTAGATAATAAAATTAACCTACTTTAGCCTAGATTATGGATTATTTAACATGATTTGTGTAATTTACAATTTTTGTTGACACATTCCATCTCATTGATGATGATTATCCTAATAAATAATTATAATTAATCAAATGCATATATTCATGTAAGCTTCATGAATTAAACCCTAATGATATATTACTATAGAAATATTTTTCGTAATATTTTTGTAACATTATTTGCATGTTAAAAACATCTTCTACATGTCTAGATATATAATATCTGTACAGTGTAAATATCTTTGAAATTATATGAGAATCTTAAAATTTACTTCATTGAAGTCCTGCAGATTTTTTTTGTCAGAACAAAAATTTTATAATTGTCTATATCTGGAAATGATGGCACTAATCCAACTAATGCATTGAAATCAGACCTGACTGATTTATCCATGAGCCAGAAAATATCTCTTATTATGTTTGTTCTGTTGATCGTAAGTTTGGAATCATGATCAGTAATTGCAGTTCCAGGACATTTAGTGTTATCTTTCTCAATTTAATTAAGGTAAGTGGGTTGAAGATATATGTCGCTTTAATTGTGATAATAATCCATTTTACTGTAATGTTCCATGTAGTTCCATGTAAAAAAATCTGCAGGACTTCAATGAAGTAAATTTTATCAAGCATTTTGAGAATCATCACCATATTGAAACAATGGTAAAATGCACAAGATCTTGGTCTTCCTCATAAAAGTCCTACTTAGAATCATATTACACTTTCTTTTGATAATTTGGCAAGTGAGCAATCATTTAGAAAATGGTGGCCATTTTTATGTGTTATTTTATCATTTTTGCTATAACTGAAAAAGTAGTAGAAGGATTTTGTAAAAATGGCAGCTATGGCTGTTCGATGGGATTTGCTATGCCTGGATACTATAATGGGTAGTGCTGATGTATTTGAATGCCTTGCTTTTTACAAAGTTCAGTTTGTCGATATACAAGTTGGAAAACTGGATCTTGATAAAGATGAAACCTATTCTGATTAATTGTTTTCTGTGGTTATATTTCATGTGGTATCACATTGTCATATCAAACAAACAAATGCGGTATCACATTGTCATATCAATCAAACAAATGTGGTATCACATTGTCATATCAAACAAACAAATATGGTATCACATTGTCATATCAAACAAACAAATGCGGTATCACATTGTCATATCAAACAAACAAATGTGGTATTACATTGTCATATCAAACAAACAAATGCGGTACCACATTGTCATATCAAACAAACAAATGTGGTATCACATTGTCATATCAAACAAATGTGGTATCACATTGTCATGTCAAACAAACAAATGTGGTATCACATTGTCATATCAAGCAAGCAATAATAAAAAAAACATATGTTGCATTACATTGTTACTCAAACAAACAAACACACAAACAAACAAACAAACCTGACATCACAGTCACATCAAACAAATAAACAATTGTATGAGTAGTACATGTATGCCTATTATTATATACTCAACTGTATATCCAAGTATCAACAAACCTCATTAATTAAAGTAATCTTTTACAATAAGTGACCACATGACATATGTTAACTAGATCGGAAATTACATGTTGCCCGCATTAATCTAATAAGAAGTGTGATGATTGATATATGTATTATGATATGACTTAAGTGCATTGGGATTATATTATATGTTCGTATCTTCATGGAAATGTCCATAATATTTTCTAGGATGAAGTATTTAGGTAGGTTGGGGCAAAATACAAGTGGAAATGGAGAAAATGTCATGAATACAGGCATAATTATTTTTTGAAGAAGAGTTTTTTTTTTGAAGAAAAGTTACTTTTTGAAGAAAAGCTGCTTTTTTATGAGAGACAATGGGTGTTACTAATGTGGTATCACATGGACTGGCTTACCAAAGCAGTAAACAAGATAGCTTTATAACTTCACATTGTACAAAGAAGGGATTTAAAAGATAATGCTACCATGCATTGTGGGCATGTTCTCATTAGCACATTGCTTTTATGTATGATGTTAGTTCACATGAATATTTAATATCACAAATATGCAACGAAGATTGGTAGGTTATTATAGTTCCATAAACATACATTATACTCAAGTATGTATGTAATATTTTGCATATTTCAATATAGAGAGTGAAACTTTATTGTTTTATTTTGGTAATCAATTCAAGTATATTGTGACTGTATAAGGGCATTTACAGCATACTCGATGAGACATACTCATAACATATCAGTGAACCATTTTAATTTTCAGCAAAGTTAGCTTAGTGATCAGAATAAAAATCAAAAAATTTAGTGTTTCACACTAATTGTTACATACTGTACACTCAATTTTGTTAGGTGGTAAAAAGTTATTTCGTAATTTTCACTTGACATCTTTTGAAATGGCCTCTTAATGGCCTCGTACAGTATGATTAACAAAATGATCTTGTGTGCTTTCAGAGAAACTCCAAGTCTTACAACCTCAGCGCACCAGATGAGGATACATCTAAGTCTGGTGGTAGCCTAGCAGGAACCTCTCACAGTAAGAAACAAGAGAGGAGAAACAAACTCCTTGGAAAGACTGGGAAAAAGCCATCACAATTATCTATTGATGACATCTCAGCACCAATCATACAACAGTCTTCTCCTGATGTGAAATCTCCTATTGTGCAACAGTCTTCTCCTGATGTGAAATCTCCTATTGTGCAACAGTCTTCTCCTGATGTGAAATCTCCTGTAATTCAGCAGTCATCTCCTGGTGTTAAGTCTCATGTTATACAACAGTCCTCTGGTGAACTGAAGTCTGATACTAATAGTAATCATCAAAACGGAAATGCTAGACCACTAAGTCCTAACAGAGATTCCTATGTACACAAGGAAAATAACCAATCATTAAAGAGACAGAATTCATCTCCGAGGGAGGCTCCACCAGCGCCACCTAAGGACATAAGAAAATCAAGAGCTCCACTTTCACCACCAATTCAAAAGGCAAATGAGAATATAAAGGACAGTATACCATCTAGGAAACCTAGTGTTAAAGGACTTGCCCCAGAGCCACCAATAAAATCTTCCAGAAATTCTAGTCAACATAATCAGACTGAGGAGCTTATAAACCAAACTGAAAACTCTCTTCAAGCAAATACATTACCAAGGGTCAGTTCTCCAGTTAAATCTTTACCCCCATCAGAGGCCCCTGTCCAACCTGTTCCTCCCCCTAAGACTAAGAGACGGACTAAGAGATCTTTGTCCCCCAAAAGGACTGCTCCATTACCCCCTGCTCCATCTTTACCTTCTGGATGCAAGGAGCCCAAGACGGAAAGCAGCGACACTTTGAATGAGCTTATTAGATCTGCTAATCAAAGTGTATCTTCTGAACCTCTACCTGATCCAGTTCAAATTCAACAAACAGTTAATGATCCTCTAAAGGAATTGTCTAATTCTCCTGATCCTGTGGTAACTAAAGAAACAGTGGAACCAATATATAGCAAGGTTGTTAAAACACCTACTGCTGAGCCTATAAAGAGACCCCTTAGGCCATCACAAGAGCTTAAACAAAACTCAGGTGAAGAACCCATAGTCGCAGCACAAGCTCCAATTCCTCCAAAAAGAGATCGAACAAAACGTAGAAGTAAAAAACTTTCAAACACTCAGGGTAATGAAGTATGCGACTCTGGATTATATTCAAATGTTATAATTTCTAGAAAGGAACCAGAAGTTGTTCAAGTACAAGAGGATACAAACTTAGTTTGTGATAATGTTAACATAAGTAAAGGGGATACAAGTGCAAATCCGACTGACATAAGTGCAAATAATGATGACAGTGTAAAAGTAAAATTCAGTGAAGAGACAAAATTAGAAACAATAAGTAAAGCGCCTGTTGAGTTAGCTGAACCTCCTGCAATAGAAGAAGACATTAGACCAATAGAGCCTCCATCTGATTTCTTTTTAAGTGATGATAGTGTGACCAAGAAAGATCCATTTGTGATACCTCTTGTCAGAGCAAGTGAATCCGTAGCAGTAACAGGTCAACCTTCAAATTTACAGCCTCTTTCTGATTCAGAGCCTCCTTCTGATTTAGAGCCTGTCTCTGATTTGGGGCCTCCTTCTGATTTCTTCTTAAGTGATGAAACTCTGCCAAAAAGAGACCCATTTATAATACCTCTTGTAAGGGCTAGCGAATCTGTTGCGTGTACCAGTCCACCCCCGTCTGTCACTCCACATACACATACCCCTATTGAAGATAATAATTCCGTTATTGATTCAAGCCCTCCAGAACCTGTACCTGTAACAGACATTGATGACATTCAGTTAGATATAACTGATGTTGAAAATACATTTGATGATATCTTAACTGAAAATAATATTACAATCACTGAGGAAAACTCAAAAATAAGTGTTGATGATGCAGCTGATATAGATTGTGCTGATGTAGAGAGTGCATTTGATGAGATTCTTGCAGATTTTGACACTGAAGTAGAAAATACAGTAGCACTAGACAGAGAACCAGCTTCCCATTTGTTAAATCTAGATTTGAAGTCTACATTCGTTGATCCTTCAGACATTGGTTCAGTCAGTCCGAGAGAGCCCCCACCTCTGCCTGAATCTGCTCCACCCCCTTTAACCCCCCCTGAGGAGGATCCATATCCCGATATTGTGCCTCCTGTGGAGTCAACTGAAATTACATTTATCCCTATTGACACTCCAGAAGCCACCTTCCTTGCTGTACCAGAGGTTACTAGCCTTGCTCTCACTGAAGATACTGTTCACCTCCCTCAAGTTGAAGACCCAGATGACTTGAGTTGGATTGCAACATTAGCTCAAGCTGAACAAGACGGTGAATTCACCAGGGAGGACGTTGAGGAAATATTAGAAATGGAAGCAGAAAGGAGAAAAAAATCAGTTGATGAACTGAGAGCAGAATTTTTTGGCATCCGGAATGACGCAGTTAAAGTAAGCACCCCAAAGTTGAAGTCTGTTGAGAATAACAATGAGATAACTGTAAAACCAGTTGTAATTGAGGATAAGACAGTCTCTAGCATTAAATCTGATGTTAACACTGAGAAAAGTGTTGGTGAATATGACTTTATTCCACCGCCATTGCCATATAGTGATAATATGTCTAAAGTAACCGTTGTCTCCATAAAAAGACCAGATCCTCCACAAAAGGAGAAAGGCTATGGACTTGACAGTGATTATAGTGAGGACTCTGATATATCAGATAATGAAGAAGTATTTGCAGCAACATTTACCCCTGGTGATACTGACAAGAAAAAAGTTAAGCGTGGTACTAATGAAAGCAGTGATAGTGGTATTGCTCTGATATCATACAAAATTAACGAAAATGACAGAAATACCAAAGATCCATCCATCTACCCACTTGGTGATGAATCCGAAGATGGGGGAATCACATTGATTTCATACAATAAAAGTAAATCAGATGATGTGTCTCAAACAACGAAATCCATACCCCCTACAGTGGCGCCAGTTCCACCAAAAAGAGCATCAAAGTTGAAAAAGGATGAGCCAGCCATGATTGCTGCACCACCCCTACCTAAGACCCCACCCCCAGATGTGATACCATCATCTATGTATTCATTACCAACCTCCACCTCATCAAGTATGGAGAAGATGAAGGACATTGCAAACAGCAGCACATCAGGTGAAAAGATGGTGTACATCAAGGGCAGCAGTTCAGATAAACCGAAACCTCTCATAGAAGGCTTCTCTTCAGAATTGGACGAACTCGAGTTAGAGCGCAGGAAACTCATCAGTGAAAACAAGATGGTCAACAAGAAGGTCACTTGGGGTCAAGGGCAGCTGCAGGGTGAAGATGTTGGTGCTACCGCCATTCTAAAGTCTCCACCACCTCAACAACCTGACATTGTACCCAGGCGCAAGGGTGAGTTTCTTTTATTAGTTTGTAACCTTAAAGTGGCAATAAGGCTTGTAGAGAGAAAATAGGAAAATTTTAACTTTTTCTGAGCTATCAAGGCAACAGTTGGCCTAACATCTTCTTCGACATACCTATTTTCTTAAAATGTATGGATAAACTATCAATTTCGGCATTAAAAAGTGTAAATTCAGTTCAAAGCTTCAAAAAGGGGATGTCCACTTTTATATTTTTAAGATCCACCATGTTTCAAGAGGAATATAAGCTGAAATAATGATTATCTAGGGGGTTTCTTTTTAGAAAATAAAAATAGATGTTAGTCTTGATGAAATATCCAAACTTAAATATATTTTGACACTGGTCCATGATCGTTGAATGGCCCCTCTGCACTACTTGTTGCACCTTTAAAAAAGAAAATCTGCAACTAGTAGTTTGGACCTTGTGCATGTTTTCCCTAGTTTTGAATAATACAAGATTTTAGCATAGGGCAAAGGATGGTGAGTATAAAACATGTGTTTTGTGTATAATAGTGCACTGTACTTTCCATAGTATAATGTTATTTATGTCATGCATGAACATTCTAAATTAAGATATAATAGATTAACTGTCAAACCAAACAATTCCAGTTTCTTTTTTACCATACCAAGCTCTCCCTCTACGAATGTTGAACTCCATGACTCAAAAATGTAGATGTGATAGACATCTATATAAGATCATGAAATGTTAGTTTGTATAACTGATCTTTAAAACACTCAGTACAATCAGTATATAAAACTTGACAGTTATTGACTGAAATGATTAAGTTTATTATGTAAATACTTGAACTTTTATGTAAATTCATTCTTGTTAAGATCTCTCAATTTCTTAAGTATTCGAACACACTGTACCTGATGATGATAAAATTAAGACAAATTGATATAGGATTCAAACATGACCGTGCTCTATTCGAATTTCTCAACCAATCAGAATGCAGCATAGCCAATATAGAACGTTCTCTAATTCTCCATAGATGCACGACCATGCTCTATTCAATCTGCAATTTGCATTGTTTTGAGTGACGTCACATCTCAGCTAGCTGCACATCTGGGGCTCTGTCCGGGGATAGCTGTTCGTATTCTTCCTTCATGCCCGTTCCACAGACACGGCTTTTACTAATTCGTTTTTATGTTTGAATCGGAATAAATAATGATAGGCCATTCAATATGGTGAAATTCAGCACTCGTTGGACAGAATGTTAGTACAAATGCACTCACCTTCGGTTCGTGCTTTGTACAACATTCTGTCCAACTCGTGCTGAATTTCACCATATTGAATGGCCTATCATTATTTATTCCTTAATTGATTGATTGGAATAATTTATCTTTTGATTGATATTAAATTTATAATGAGAGTACTGTAATTAACAAAGGCCATGTACTGAAATAAAATAGATGTTGTTACACCTGTAATTACATTACATGTACATATACTAGCCAAGGGGCTCTTAAAGGCCACAATGGGACAAGGCGTTGTACTAATTAGAATTTGAAGTTCATTTTGTATTGATAGAAATACATGTCATAAAGAAATTGATACACTGAGGAGGCACCGTATTTTAGAATTGGATGTTTATACAGTCACATATAAAATGATAAAGTCAAGTTTGAAGCAGTTAAAAGTTAAAATGTAACTTGTTAGAACTGATGCACCAACGATGGACTTAGAGATAACGAGTCTATGTGTGTTTAGAATGAAACACCTATCAAAGTACATACAAAAATATATCATTGATAAACAGCCTTAGATCTCAATAGGTGCTGAACATTGACAAAATTAATAGGACCAATATATCAGGATTATTTGACTGAAAGTAAAAATGTAACCAAAATGCGTGAGAAGCGACAAGTGGCTGCCCATATACGATATGAGATCATAGGTCAGGGCAACGAAAACCCGCCAATTAGAAAATGTTGATGTTAAAATGTGTTAAATCACACTTAGTTCAGCCCACACCTTATATGATAGGTCAACTTTGACGTTTCAGATTGGATTTACTTACTAAATTAACTATTGTGTAGATAAGAAATTCAGAATAAGATAGCGGAATCTTGTATCAGAGTAAATCCAGCTTATTAAGATAGAAAGATCATACGAACACATCTCGTAAAATGTCTGATGATGAAGCTTTATCATGTACTGTTGAACCACGATGGGCAGCTGGGGCTGTACGCATCACAGATGATGCTCTCGAGGTCAGTTTGAGCTACTTACGGGACCTCTGTATCGCAGGATTACCACCGGGACATGAGAATAGCAACCAACAAGTTGTCAAGGTTGCGCTTACTCCATCTTTGGTTGATGCAACTACAGGTATTAACAATATAAAGTTGATTTTTTCAGTAGATAAAGGATCTAGAAAAATGATATGCAACTGGTTCAGTAATGCCATTCTGACTGGCTGCTTTCAGAACCTTAGCTCAACCCCTTGTTTTAGATGCAGGATTTGTCCCAAGAGAAATATATATATCTCTTGAGGGACTGCAGGAACAGACTCATATTTCCCAGTAGATAAACCCTGTAGCTGTAGCCAGAGCCATATTTATCAAAGGTATCCAATACATTATGGGTCTCTAGCTATAGGGACCCAAATTTCAATTTTATGGTTCCAAAATTTAAATTAAATGAATTACCAATTCATTTGACTCAAGTCAGTTGTTATTGTCTGAAAAAATAATTTTAGTGATATTATTTGATATTAAAAGTACAGCATCTAGAATTCTGACCATAAATGTCCTGAATATGTTTTAATTCATGATGATGATACTTTCCCCATCAATAGACTTTGGTACCTACCCTCTTTGCTTAAGATATCAATGCTTGAAAGAATTATTCAACTAGTTATTTGTATGACCATTTTCTTACTGAATTTTATATCTTTCACATTTTTCATTTTTGACTGGCAATTAATTCACTTTATAACATGAGCATTTTTTAACATTTTATAGTTATATTATTAAAGTCTATTGCTAGAGTAATTTACAGCTTAAGAATTTAAAATATATTGGGGTGATTTAGGATCAGATATTGGCCCTTTACTTAACAGGTACATAGTAGCTTTTCATTACACCCCCCCCCATTTTTAATTTGAACTTTGTTTTGTATGATGTTTAAGAAGTCCTGATAGGGTGTTAATAACCCTTTCTAGTAGTTTGATTTCAATTCTTAAAAGAGAGCTTCATCTGTTTAATGTTGTAGACTCGGACAACTAGGATATGTCTCCAAGCAAGATTTTATACATGTAATAATAGTACTATATAGAGTTTGATTGTTCACAGATGGAGAATCACATAAGGTCAAATCGAATAATGGTTAAGTTCAAAACGGTCATTCCATGCAATATGTCGCAAATAATAATTGGTTATACAAAGTTATTAATAGATGTATATGACAATTGTTTTAAGATGATCAGTTGGGATGAATTAGATGATATATTGTATGATCATTTGTCTTTTTTTCACACACTTTAGTAGTAAAAATCTTTTTAATAGTGAGGTTTCGCTCATAAGTGGAAGCTATACGTAGTAAGCATTAGGAAGTGAAATTTTGTGTTTTGCAACAAAGAATACTTCATATATATAGATTATCATTTATCAATCAATTCTAATATCATTTCATCAAAAATACTTTTCTCTGCCAAATTCCTTGTTTGTATTGTTGATTGGATACTAATATGACTAAATGTCAATTATTGCTGTGATTCTAGACTAACAATTATGTCTAAAGTATATTAGGATTTACTCACTTATGCACAATGTTTTATAATGGCCTCTTATAGACATATGGAGCTACGAGACAAGTGGTGACACAGTACCCCAAAATTATAAGTTATAAACATAAGGGATTTATAAGGGAGTCTGAGATTTGATGCACTGGGTGAAGGGGTAGAGTGAAAGCCTGAAATTTGATGTAATGAGTAAAGGGTTTAGAGGGAAGCCTGAGATACTAGTTTTTGATGTAATGGGTAAAGGGAGAGCCTGCGATTTGATGCAATGAGTGAAGGGAAAGTATGAAATTTGATGTAATGGGAAAAGGGAAGAGGGAAGTTTGAGAGATTTGAAGCAATGGGTAAAGGGGTAAAAGGAAGCCTGAGATACTAGATATAGTATTTGATGCAATGGGTAAAGGGATATAGGGAAAGCCTGAGAGATTTGATGAAAGGGTAAAGGGATAGAGGAAAGCCTAATATATTTGATGAAAGAATTTTAAGAGGTAGAGGGGGAAACTTGAACAACTTGGAAGTTAAGATGAACTTTGAAAAAGACAGTTGTTTTTACTTTTTAGTTCAATATCTTTCATCTCTTGAGGTCAGTGTAACCAGCCAATAGATTTATTGCCAACTGTTCATGACATTATGGTCACGGATCTAATCGAAATAACTTTAAATTTTAGCATTCAGTCATGATTATATTCAACATGTGTTTGCTGTATGTTCAAAGTACAGTTTTGAAGCGTGATAACTAAAAATATGTAGATAATTATGTGGATGTGCACTTTTTGAGATATCAGGAATGGGAAAAGGTGGTCAATTCTAAAATATTCAAATATCACTAAAGGTTACACAGTACAGGAGTCTATCATTATATATAAGATATAATGATATAATGTGAGCAATGTGATTAGGTATTTCAAGCATTTTGGATACTTAATTGGGGAATCCATCAAATATATACTTTTTGAATACTGTATTTTAGCGAATTAAAAAAATCGCCGAATTAAATACAATGTAGTTACCAAAATCCCTTGGAATATGACATGTTTTTCATTTAGTACACTTCCGGTTATGAGAAAGATATACTGAGATGGCTGGGCTGTTCAGATTTGTAGAAACAACAAAAAATATTGAAGAAAATATAAACAAGAAATTGTTCATCAACAGCAACAATGAGTATCTTGAGTTGGGTTGAATGGGAGGATGTCTGGGACACTTGAAACCCACCAATTAAATATACGCCAATAGGCCCAAAAACACA